CCCTAATCACTCTGGAATGTAAATGACATAGACGATTAAACCCCAATTAACGGACTGTGTCCAAAACCGGTCGGATTTATACAAAATTTGAGATTGGCATCACGCTACATCACTTACCGATACGTCTCTGTCTTCAAATCGACCGTCCAACTTGTTGGCTCTGAGAAGATGGATGCAGAAATCTAAATGATCCGTTCTTTCCGTGTAGCCTGGACTCAAGCTGTCGATTATTCGGTCTACCCACAGATTACGACAAGTGATGGTGTTGGGAAACCTCAAGTTGTTATCAACGCTGAAAACAAAAGTTATGTTGGAAATCTTTCAGTTTTTTATGACCGGTCGTAGAGTTGATGTATCCTAACGTGGCGCGGCCCCCAGCGTGGCACATTTTGCTTTTTCGTCTCTATAGTGACTTGCTAGAGATTTTTTTTACAAATTTCACAGTAAGTAATCCAGCTCTAAACATTCCCGTTCCAGAGAAATTTTAGTTTGGCGTGATTTTCAGATATTCCTTTAAAGGGAATATACAACATTTGCAAACACTGAAAAACAAGACTAACAAATTTTTACGAAATACCTTACTAGGATGTTGATAAATGACAGTCTAAAGCATCCTGTAAAATTATGGAAACTGGTGTGAAGTCTTTTTCAAGAAAAGTGGTATTTTGTATAGATTTCCAACGGTGGTCAGCCGACCACCGTTGGAAAAACCTAACTATTTTTCAACTACTGCTCCAAATTTACCATTTTTCAGTCCAAATTTTCTGTGCTTATTGGTTACATGTTCATGAACGGGTGCAGGCCAGCTAGACGGGTTCCCTTACCTTACAATTTTCCGGCATCTTTAAATTGATCCATTTCATCCTTAGTGGAGTCAGGGAATCAGACTACTTGCACATTTTAGTTTTTCTCGATTTTTTTAGCATTTTTGAACACAAAATTTCATAGTTCATTAAAATAGATCATTTCTGAAAATTACAGCAAAAGCCAATGATGTACATTCCCTTAAACTAACAGTGAACACCTTTAAAATGCGCCCCAAAAATATAAGATAATTTTCTGACAAACTTGTAATAGGGTATGTAAGTGAATATAATAACGACTTATCAGAATTGTTCAACTTAAGAAAGAAATCTCCAATAAACTCAGGATTTCGTTAAGTGCGCCACGTTAGGGAGCACTCGGCCGAACTTGTGCCCAATTTCCGGCCAACACAGTTATTAAAATTCGATCTTAATTTGGTGAGACTAAAAATTGTTCCAAAGTTTCAACAGCAAACGTTATTAAGGTAAAACTCAATGCATAATTTTTTTTGGAAAAAAGAGGTTGTGCAAAACTACATGGGGAAAGTCGAGGCGAACATCGAAGAACGCCACGTTATAGGGGACTCTATATAAATTATGTTCGCATTTCATTTTTTTTCTGACAGGACCGTTGCCCACAGCCACGGGCGGGGGAGGGCAATTTGGAACTATAAACTAGTCCATAAAGAAAATTTGCTTAAACAACATTCACTGGCAAACTAAAAATCAAGTTACGATAACTGCTCGGGATATTTTTATCAGTTTGCTTAGCAGCATTTTCTTCTTGAAATCTCAAAGAACGTTGTCTTTTTACCTGGTTAACTGTATGCTTACCGGATATCCAGACATTCGAAGTAGTGGTATCCGTTCAAAGGGAAGATGCTGGCCTGATTGCAAGTGACAACCCGCCCGGCTACTGTCTGTCGTTTACCGATTCCAATGACTTCTTCTTGAACTGTGAGTCGAATTTGAAAGGGCGAACAGTCACAAAACACAAACATTATTAGCAGTGTCATCTCTGTTTTCCACATTAATGTGTGCTCTTCTTTTGAGTCACTTTCAATCAAAGTCTTGTCTACAACAGATGTTTGGGTCGTAATTTCTGCTGTAAGGACTACTATGATAATTCTTTAGCTTTTTCCATGAAAAAAATCTAGAAAATATCAGCAATAATTTGTACCTGCATAATCTGAACATTGTGGTTTGATCAATTTGGAGGTAGAACGATTAAAATTAAGTGGTAATATGTATGATAGTGTGCACTAATTTCAGCTTCAGAGAATTATCATGTCCAAAAAATTCAAAAGTTCCGGTGGCAGTAGTCTATTACATGTAGTAAAGACCAAAATGTAATAAATGCACAGTTACATTTGTTTTACTTTTCACAGTTTTGTTCTTGAAAAGCAAATAACATCGTCCCTAACTAGGAAAATTTATAAGATCTAGCACGATCGGTGATTTTTCATTTTCAATTCACAATACATGTACATGCAACATTTGTGGTTCTGCATCGGGAATATAAAGGTGGTTAACGCCCTTACATATTTATGCTCAGCACAGTAACTCTTCGTTTTCGCCATTTATAGCACTCGTGCGTTTGTGTGGAAGTCGTATCGCAAGTACACAATGACGAATCGAAGAGAACCCGGGTGCACTGTTCTATGAATCGTCACATGAATCACTTCCTTTCAGAAATATTTTAGATAAAGAAAATGCCTGGTAATTAAAATGGCCTACCTCTTTGTGTGCAGAATGGGCCAGTCCATCCTTGCGTGCACGTGCAAGCACCAGTCACGTGATGACATGTAGCACCATTCTGACACTGGCATCTCTGTGCACACGCTTGTCCGTAGCGCCCGCCAGAACAGGCGATGTTACAGGAGGAGCCCGTCCAGCCGTCTGTGCATGCGCAGCTTCCGTCAAACCGAGAGCAGGTGGCACCGTTAAAGCAACGACACGGACTGTTGCAGTATGGTCCATAGAAGCCTTCATCACAGGGTATTTGGCACAACTGACCCATCCAACCACTCTGGCAAATGCAGGATCCGTCAAACGTTGAACATATGCCACCATTTTGGCACTGACACTCAGCAGTGCACTCCAGACCAAACGTATTTCCGGAACACCTCCGTTCGCACCGTTGACCTACAAAGCCTGGTGGACAGACACAGGTCCCGTCGAATCTAGAACACTGGGCGTCGTTTTCACAGTCGCATTGCTGCAGACAATCAATACCAAATCTGCCTTGCTGACATGGGACATCACAACGAGTACCCATCCAACCCGACAGGCATTCGCACCTGCCCGTCGACGGGTCGCAACTTGCTTCATTCAAGCATCAACAGATCTGAGAGCATCCTGGACCGTATCTCATCGGAGGACATCTTTGTTCACAGGTCAACCCATACCAGCCCGCTGGACAGTTGCAAGCCCCAGTGATCGCGTCGCAGATGCCACCGTTGCGGCAGTCGCACTGATCTTGACAATCCAGACCAAATCTATCACCGACGCAAGGTTCATTGCAAAATTCTCCTTGCCAACCGGGAGAACACGAACACGCTCCTGTTTCGCGGTGGCACCGGGCGCCGTTCTCACATCGACAGGTTTGGGCACAGTTGGTACCGTACGTGCCCTCGTCGCACTCAATATCACACAAGACACCTTTCCAGCCGGAAGTGCACATGCATCGTCCAGTGAACCTATCACACAGGGCGCCGTTCCTGCACTGGCACAGTGCTGTGCAACCTGGACCATGTCTTCCCTGGGTACATGGCAGATGACAGTACCGCCCCATCCATCCTGTAGTACACGAACATACCCCGTCAAACCTAGAACAAGTGGCGTCGTTCCGACAGTAGCAACGCTGCATGCAGCCCGGTCCCCACCTTCCGTCCCCGCAAGGTTGATCACATTCAAATCCTGTCCAACCTGCGTCACATTCGCAAGACCCATCAAATCTGCTGCATGAAGCACCATTCTGACATTCACATCGGTTCTCACAGTTTCTGCCATAGAACCCCTCCATGCATGGCTGGTTACAAAACGTCCCTTCCCAACCGCTGGGACAAATACATGAACCATCAAACCTATTGCAGCTCCCGCTATTCTGGCAACCACAAGCGTGCTGACAATTTTCTCCACAGAACCCAGCCTCACAGGGCTCGTTGCAGTTAGGGCCAGTCCAGCCTTGTCCGCAACTACAAGAACCGTCAAATCGAGAACAAGGTGCATTGTTAGCACAACTACACCGTTGAAGACAGTTGACTCCATATAACCCTACTGAGCACTCGATGTTGCAATCCTTACCAGTCCAACCGCTTCCACAAGCACACTCGCCGGTAAACCTGTTACATCCAGCATTGTTACTACAGGAACAAAACTGAGAACAATCAACACCCCATCGTGAATGGGGGGCATTCTGTGTCACACAGGTCTCCCATCCATCCAGCTTGACAGATACAACTACCATCCACTGGAGAGCAGCTTACATGATTAGCGCATGTACAGGGGAGCTTGCATTGAAGACCGTAGAAATCTTCTGGACAGGGTTGCTCACAAGAAGATCCCATGAATCCTGGTGGACAGAGACATGCACCGTTGAACCGTGAACAGAACGCTTCATTCATACACGAGCAGGTGCCTTGGCAGTTGATGCCATAAGTACCGTGTCTACAAGGAATGTCACAAGCTCTTCCCATCCATCCCGCAGAGCAAGAACAGGAGCCATCAAATCGAGAACAAGCTGCATTATTCTGACACTGACATGCCTCGCTGCAGGCCACTCCCCATCTTCCGCGCTCACATGCCAAGTTGCAAAACCTTCCTGTCCAGCCAGCAGAACACTGACAAGTCCCATCGAAGCGATTGCAGGAAGCGTCATTTTCACACAAACAGTTGCTCTCGCAATTTGGACCGTAGAGCCCTCTAGAACAAGCCGTATCACAGAAACGACCCGTCCAGCCTGCAGTACACACACATTCACCGGTGACCCTGTCACAGGATGCTTCGTTAGAACAGCCACATTCACGATCGCAATTGGCACCATAAAATCCTCTTGGACATGCAATATTACATTGGAGACCCATCCAACCAGGGCTACACTCGCACGTGCCGTCAAACCGACTGCATGGGGCGTTATTTGGACACTGGCAAGTTTCAGTACATCCTGGGCCGAAAGTACCTCTATCACATTCATCCTCACAGTAACGCCCCTGCCAGCCTGTTGTGCAAAAACACTCGCAATCTATTCTTGAGCAGGACGCGCCATTTCGACATTGGCATGGCGATGAGCATCCCGAACCATACCAGCCATTATCGCACGGGTCTTGGCAGTTCTGGCCCTTCCAGCCAGCTGAACAGGAGCACGTGCCATCAAAGGGTGAGCAAGAGAGGCTGTTTACACACGTGCATTCCTCGGTACAGTCTGCACCATTAAAGCCCTCACGACCAGGTGTATCACAAAACCGTCCTGTCCATCCTGGAGCACAAGAACAACTGCCATCGAAACGAGAACAAGTCGCTTCGTTTCTGCATCTGCAGTTTTGTTCACATCCGGGACCATAAAGCCCTGGCCGACATGGAGCATCACAAGAGGCACCGTACCAACCTGCAGTACAAGTACAAGTTCCGTCAAACCGACTACATTCTGCGCCGTTCTGGCACCTGCAGACTCCACTGCAGTCTTGACCGAAGAAGCCCGACTCGCACGGGTCAGAACAAAATAGCCTCCAGCCGGGAGGACAAGTACAGGCTCCTGTCACGGTATCGCAGATACCACCGTTTACGCAGCGGCATACTTTAGCACAGTTGTGGCCATAAAAACCGTCATCACACGGTACATCGCAGAACGCTCCCTGCCATCCAGGTGTACATGTGCACATTCCATCAATGTGATTACAAGTGGCACCGTTTTGACACCTGCAGATCTTCTCGCATCTTGTACCGTAGCGAAGAGCACCGCAGGGCTGATCGCATATTGTTCCCTGCCATCCTGGCGCGCAGCTGCAGCTGCCATCGATGTTGCTACAAAGTGCATCATTCTTATACATGCAGTTGTCTCCGCAGTCCAATCCATATTTACCTTGTGGGCAGGGGTCGGAGCAGGTGAGCCCAAGCCAGCCCGCAGTACAGCTGCATACACCCGTTACGTGATGACAAGCGCCACCATTTCGACACTGACATTCACTGAGACAATCCTGACCAAAGTAGCCAATGGGACAGATATCCGAGCAAGTAGAACCAGTAAATCCAGGTGAGCAAGTACATAAACCGCTAACGTGGTGACAAGCAGCGTTGTTTTGGCAAAGGCAATCCATTCTGCATTCGTACCCAAAACGACCTGGATTGCAGGGCGCGTCGCAATACTGTCCTTGCCAGCCAGGAGTACAAGAACACTCTCCATCAATGTGACTACAATCGGCACCATTTCGACATCGGCATGCTCTGTCACATCCCAGTCCGTAGAAGCCTTCGGAGCATGGCCTTTCGCAGTTCGGGCCCTGCCAACCTGCAGTGCACCGACAGGCTCCCGAGATGTGGTTGCACTCTGCCCCGTTTCGACACTGACATCTCTCAGCGCATTCTAGACCGTAAAAGCCCATAGCACATGGCTCGTTACAGACAGCCCCCTCCCAGCCCGGCCTACAACGACAACTTCCGTCAACGTGATGACAAGCAGCTTCGTTGTCACAGCGACATGGCGAAGTACAATCCATGCCAAACCTACCTTGTGGACATGGAACTCGGCAGGATGTTCCTACCCAGCCGGCTGTACACTGACACACCCCAGTCATGTGGTGGCATGATGCTCCATTCCAGCACTGGCACTCTTCTAAGCAGTTTCGGCCATAGTAATTGGCTCTACATGGGGCGTCGCAATTGGCACCCGTCCAGCCGTCGAAGCAAGAACAAACGCCGGTAACATGATGACAAGCACCATTTTGACAAGTACATCGCTGGCGACAGTCCTGGCCAAACATATCGCGAGAGCAGATACTTCTACATGTCAAGCCGGTATACCCTGGAGGACATGTGCACCTTCCATCAACGTGGTCACAAGCAGCATTGTTTTCACACATACATGGAGACTGACAATTTACACCGTAGAACCCTTGGCTGCAATCGTTCTCACAAAAGTCCCCTGTGTACCCAGGAGGGCAAGAGCAACTCCCGTCTTCGGCATAGCATTAGGCACCGGGCTGACAACGACAAGTCCTGCTACACTGAGGCCCGTACGAACCCTGGTCGCAATATTCCTCGCATAATTGCCCCTGAAAGCCAGATGTACAAGAACATGTCCCAGTGACGACATCGCAAGCTGCCAGGTTGTGACACTCACAAAGAAACTGGCACCGTAAACCATAAGTACCATCTGCACATTCGTCTTCACAGTGAAACCCTTGATAACCCGGCGGACACTGACACTCTCCTGTAAACCGGTTACACCTGCCGTTATTTTCACACGGGCACCTTTGTGAACACTGAACGCCATATGTGTTGGTCGGGCAAGCTGTACAAGGACAACAAACACGCGAAAGCTTGGGTGAAAGACACTGCTTAAAAATGTCAAAAATGATAAACTTAGTTCTGGTTCTGGTTCATGTTGAATCGGTAAAATTCACTCATTCACAAGAATACTCTCTAAATTCCAAAGAGTGATATTAGGGTCTATACGTTTTAGAATGAAAATCACTCTCATTTTTGATTGAAAATGAACCACTTCAGTCTGAAAAATGAACCACTTCAGTCGAAGTTCTAGTGAAAACTCGATCTTTACGATTGAAGAAATTTCACTCTAAAACGTCTAGTTCCTAGTTTCCCACTGTTGGAATGAATCTGATTCACTCCAATGTAGTGAAGTTTCGCTGGAATTTAGAGAGTATCACACCAACTTAGTTTATGGTACAAAGTGAAATTATGTAACAGAGACTGGTTCAAATACACGTAAAACGTTTTGTACCTGAGTCTTCCTACATTAAACCAAATTCCATGAATTGTATTTCCCAATCCTCGCTAGCCAGGGTAGCCAGGGTAGAGCGTTAAAGGTGGCTCGTGGGACAATTTTTAGGCAAAACAATTATAGCGATCGTTGTGTACGTACGGGAATAATTATTATTATCCTGGAGCAGACCAACAAAATCACCAGTGAAGTTTCTTTCAGCCCCTCTAGAACTGGGTAGAGATTTTTGTTTTGCAATGGAGTGAGGACTTGAGCGGGCAAGTGCATTTTGCTACATAGCCTATTAGGCAGTCAAAACCCAGTGTGAAGCGCGAGTTAGGGATGGTTGTCCAACCAAACGGTATTTATTAGTTCAAGTCGGTGTTAAGCTTTTGTAAAACGTGATCCGATTGGACAGATATTGTGTCAGTTTATATTTGGAAGTGTCATGAATAATTAATCACGCGAGTTGAAAATAGTAAATGTGGAATCGGTTTGCAAGGCTACCAACTTACGAGAGAAAGATTACCCTAGCCAGTGAGGATACTCTGTAAATAAACACTTGTTCAAACGACATACTCCTTACACTCACGTGACTAGTTTTCGTTTAAATAGAGTTTGACGATGAACGCAAGCGTTTAACATGTGTGATGTCGTCCAATGCTGTCATTGTTCACTATGTTATGCGCATGATCTCGTCATACACATTTGTTTTATGAATCAAAACCTATAGTATTTCCTAATCATCGATGCGAATTCTAAATCGCCTGATTTCATATCTCATTTGGGAATAACATTTACGACGCACCCGTGTTTTGATAATTCAGTGAGTTTTGGAATATACGCATTATTTGTCTTAGGTATCTTCAAAAGGAGGGCGCTGATCTCCGTGAGCAAAAACTTTACAGGAACGAACGAACATCTGCCTATTTTGTCTACCTTAGAGTTGTATAGGCCTATATGGCTTAAGATCATGTCACCTGCATAAACGAACACCAGTGCCACTTCCTCGTGTAACTTCCACATGTTGTACAGAACCAGTATTAAAAGAAGTGTTCTACTTCAGTCAATCGAGTCGAAGCCCGGGTCCAAGTCCTGAGTCAATTGGTTAAAATCCGACTCCGATCGAGTCACAAGTCCGAGTCAGAGTATAAGAGTCACATTATGTTCGAGATGAACGTGTGTTCACGACCATTATGTCCGTTTGGTCGATAACGTCCGACAACAGATTTTGACGAGCGACGCCCGATTGTGTCCGACCAATTATGTCCGACAGCCGATTATGTCCGACCCATTGTGTCCGACAGCCGATTATGTCCGACCCATTGTGTCCGACGGCCGATTATGTCCGACCCATTGTGTCCGACGGCCGATTATGTCCGACCCAATGTGTCCGACGGCCGATTATTTCTGACCCATTGTGTACGACGTCCGATAATGTCCGACCCATTGTGTCCGACGGCCGATTATGTCCGACCCATTGTGTCCGACGGCCGATTATGTCCGAGCCATTATTTCCGACCCATTGTCCGACGGCCGATTATGCCCGACCCATTATGTCCGACGGCGATTATGTCCGACCCATTGTGTCCGACGATGGGATACGTCCGACCTATTGTATTTAGATGGTCGATTACGCCGGATTCTTTCGGTTGTGTACTGACATTATTAAGTTATCTTTGAATTGTAACTGCAGTGCGCGCGCAAAATTACCGTGAAAAATTCTGAAAATATCCCCACGCATAATCTGATTCAAACAAAAGTTGACGTCCAAAAATCCATAGGGTTGTCTAAGGGGCGTGGCTAACTTGCAAACGGCGATAGGTCAATCGGGCGATTCACATTGCAGTGCGCCACCAAGAGTTTGCCACAGAGAATTCATTTTGCTTAATGCATTGTGGGAGATGGTGGACAAATTCGCAGCGCGAGATTTGAAATTGTTAGTTTGTCTGGTCAGTAGTTTTGTATTGCGTATGATTCGAGTATATGTTTGCCCTTTTCTTTTCTTTTTATGGTGTTCTTTGTTAAGGCGGCGGAACGCTGTGCCCAAATTTTTAACAAATTAGCTGAATCATCCAATTTGCCAGAATTGTCTGTCCGCCCCTTGTTTTCCCCACGGTTCGTGGGTAAAAGTGATTCAACTTGACATGATGACGCGCAAATGTAAAATGCAATACCCGAAATCAAATCATCTAATAACAATATCTCTATTACCGCACCAGGAGCTTTTTCTGGTGCAATTGTGGTGTAGGCCGCACGCTACACCACAATGGCACAGAGCAGCACCAGAAGTGTACACCAGAAGTACACTACATCACTGTACGTATGTCATATGAATTTTAACTCGTACGTACGACATAACAAATCGTACTTACGAGTTACATCTCATACGTACGATTATGATCGTACATACAAGATATGAGATATAAGTTGTACGTACGACATATAGGTCGTACGAGTTATAAGGCCTACGAACGAGTTATAATTCATACGTCGTACGTACGTATGTATATGCATATGACTTATGAATTGTAAGTCGTACGTACGACATACGAGATATAAGTCGTACGTACCCGTTGCAATAAGTCGTACATACGAGATTCAGTCGTATTTACAAATTGTAAGGCGTACGTACGAGTAATAATTAAGTTGTAAGTACCTACGAGATCTGAGTCCTGTATGTACGTTCATACAATTCATAATTGTCGTGAGTAAGAGATTTAAGTTGTACTTACGAGTTCAAATTAGGCGTAGGATGAGTAACGAGTCATACGTACGAGATATAAGTTGTACGTACAAACGATGGAGATATAAGTCGTACTTACGACATGAAAGTCATGAGTAACAATTCATCAGTCGTACCCTGCGAACGAGGTACATCTCGTACATACCACTTACGAAATGTAAGTCGTACGTATGAGATACGAGATATAAGTCGTATGTACCCCGTACGTGCGCGTTGCAATTCATAAGTCGTACGTACGAGATTAAGTCGTATTTACAAATTGAAAGGCGTACTTACGAGTTATGGGTCGTATGTATAAGGCGAATGTTTACATTTTATATATTGTACTTACGTACGAGTTATATATATTATACGTAAGTACGATATATAAGTCTTAAGTACGACATATTAGTTTTACGTATGAGTTACAATTTATAAGTTGTACACACGATGAAGGCATATTTACAAGTTAAATGTATATATCAGGCGTATGTATACGTACGAGTTATTAGTCGTACTTAAGAGTTATATGGCGTATGTACGAGTTATGATGCCCACAAGGCGTACATTCGATATATAAGTTGAACGTATGATTTAGTTGAAGGAAGAGAGATGTCCTTAAATCCTGGCGACGCGGCCATGGGAGAGAGAATGTTTTTCTCACTATGCATGTTTGTCCCTAATACAGCTTCGTAACATGATTGACTTAACTGCGTCAGTTCGGCGCAAGCACGTACAGCGCGCTTTCGCCGGGAATCATTGTACGGGCGGGTTTTACGAACTGACGCGTATTGTTTTATCGCTTCGTAATGTCCGAGTTTCAACGTATGATATTTCGGTCACAACATATTTTCAAGATTGTTTGTATCTTAGAATCTATCGCGTTTTCAGGGTTGAAATTTCACGTGCAGTTACATTTTAATAAGTTTGTTAGTAATATGTGAATATTGGAAAATCGAAAAAATCATGCAAATTGCCTATTTTGCCGGTTCGTATAAACGGCGACGATTTTATACCAACAAGCATTACACGTTTTAGATATTGATCCATCTCTTTTTAGATGAAAGTTATCTTTTGTCAAATTTGGTGACAACGTATACATATATTATTATTGTCCATTTGTTTCTATTTATTATATATATATATTTATATTTATAAAACAAAATAATATTTTTTTCTAACACGATTAATAAAATACTAAACGGCGATACGACTCCAGCAGAAAAGATTAGAATTTTTGTTTAGAGAACAAGGAGTAACTGTAGTGAGTATTTTAGCCGCTTTTAGTTTAGCCATCAGTACATTATTTCCTTGTC